GTTGTTGTTGAGTGTTGTTACACACGGGAAGAGGGGATGCCTGCACGTAATGTTAGCCTCCTTGGGCAGGGGCAAGACTCGCACAGGCGGGGAAAGAGGGTGAGAAAAGAAGAGAAGAGGGGTTGGGGGGTGATTTGGTCACCAATCTCTGGATGAGTAGGGTCGAATCAGGAGGCTATTTTCTTGAGGGAGAGGGGACACTGCAGAACTGTCTTCTGGTATGGAGATCACAGATTAGTCGATGACAGTTGAGACGAGAAGGCGTGGCTGGTCTAGGTGGCGGGCCGGTGGGCTAGAGGCGCGTTGCAAGTCCAGTGGCTTTGAGGTACTCAAGGAGAGATTTATAAACAAGTTCTCTTCTTCGTCGACCTCCGGTAGGAAAAAGGATTTCGTTCTTTTGAGTCACAGTTGTGCTGCCACTTAGGATGGTGGTAAAAAAGGACCGTCGAGCTTGATCGTAGTGAGAACAATTTAGGAGGACGTGGTCAAGGTCCTCTGGCACATTGCATTTGGCACAGTTGGGTGTACTAGACCTGGAGATCTTGTGAAGTGTCGTTGATGTGTAGGCGCAGTTTGCACGAAGGCGATGGAGCAGCGTGGAATCTGATCTGGTTAGTTTTGACTCGGGGAGCGATGGAGGAGGATTCCCGCTTGCAACTTCTGTATGGGGGTGACGCATTGTGGTAATTAATTTGCACAGTCTGCGCGCTTCGCAATAACGTGGGATGAAAAGACTGGGTTCTTCTTCCTTGTGTGCCTTTGAAGCAAGGGCATCGGCGCGTTCGTTGCCGGGGATACCTATATGTGACGGAATCCATTGAAAAGCCAACTGCCACCCTCGCATGCAAAGTTTTCGGGCCTTGTCGGCCACACATTGGGCCAGAAAAGGAGCTTGGTCTGAAGCTTCCAAATTGGATAACGCACTTCGAGAGTCGGAGAGAATAACAGTCTTGCAAGGATTGAGGTTGTGAAGCGCATCTAATGCCGCTGCTAGTGCAGCCAGCTCCGCTGTCGTGGACGTGGTTGCGAAGTTGAGGCGGTGTGATGCTTCGATTCCGGCATCGGGAATGACGAATGCCGCTGTAGATGTTGCAGTTGTGGGATTCGTTGACCCGTCAGTAAACACTTGGAGCCAACCATTGTACGTGCTTGTCAGTTGGTCAGCTACAAGCGACCTTCCATCAGTGGCTGAGATAGAATTCTTCTTCGGGAAATAAGGAAGCGTTTCTTCTACAATGTACGGCGGTTGGGTTATGAAAGGTGCCGGAGGAAAGTAATGGCTATTAGGAGGTCCAATTTGTAAATTAAATTCTTGTACACATCGACCTATCTGCGAATCAAACCGCTCTTCAATGTTGGACAGCAGTGATGTCGCAGATCGTGCTCCATACATACGAGTGATATGATTCATTGCTCTTATTCTTATATGCATAGCTACTGTTTGATCCTTGGCCTCTACGAGTGTCGCCGTATTGCCCGCGAAGCGTGGCAGTCCAAGGCACTGACGGAGGGCAACACGGTGAAAACGTTCGAGTGTGGTCATTTGATGAGCTCTGATTCTGATGAGAGGTAGGCTTTATAACATTCTTGAGAGGATAAGGCCACGATAGAGAATCAAAAGTCCCTGAGGAGGCAGTCCAGATTTCTGGCGATGGAAGTGACGGAGCACAGTTAATAATTTAGTGCACTGCGTTACAAGTCGTTTTATCTCGGGTCTCCATGTAACGTGGTCATCTATTTCCATCCCCAAGTATCGGTACGTTGAGACTCTCTGGATCGGTATTCCTTTAATGGTTGGCGTATTTGCAACTTTGCGGTTTGGATGTCGACCAGGGCGGTAACAGAGGAAGGCTGTTTTGCTTGTAGATAAAGTAAGTCCTAGTTCTTCTAGAGTAGAAGTCGTGCTGTCAAGAACTTTCTGAAGCCTTTTGCCGATGGTCCTTGACAGTCTGGATGGACCGACACACCAAATTGCCACATCATCGGCGTATATCGTCATGTGAACTGTTGTACTGGACGTTTATGCATAGCGGAAGTTCTGCCATGGTAAGGTTAAACAGAAACGGGCTCAGTACACTTCCTTGGGGAACGCCTTGGGTCACCGACCGACGAGTGCTAAGACATTCGGCAGCTCTTACTGTTAGGCTGCGGCCAGTGAGGAACGCGGCGATATAGTCATATGTTCTTCCACCAATTCCGTACCGTGTAAGTTGACGCAGAATGGTATGGTGTGGTAGGGCATCGAAAGCTTTGCATATGTCCAAAAATATGCAGTAGACTGTTTGGTGAGTTGAACGTGCATCTTCAAGGCTCGAAACGAGATCAGCAATGGCGTCAAAGGTGCACCTCCTTCGTCGGAATCCGCAGAGTTGATCTGGCAGTGCTCCTTTGGATTCAAGCAGCCACGTAAGTCTTGAAAGTACTAGTCTTTCCATTAATTTCCCGACACAACTGATGAGAGAAATTGGCCGGTAGGATTCAATCCGATCACCGGGTTTTCCTTGCTTTCTGATAGGAACCACTACAGAGGTGAGCCATGCTGCAGGGATTTTTGCCGTTCTCCATATGTTGTTGATAGACTCCAGTAAGGCCTCTCTATGCGGGAAGGAAAGATTTCTCAGTGCTTGAAACGTTACGCCGTCCGGTCCCGGAGCGGTTCGACGGTGCGAGCGTCGGAGGGCAACATCAAGTTCAGTGATGGTGAAATCAGCGTCCATTTCTGAGCAAGGATTTGTTTTCAATGGAACTGGAGGCTTGTCCCTGTATCCCTGTGGTGGCGGAATTGGGGCAGCGAACGCATCAGCAAGAAGCTCCGCGGTTTCTTGAGTAGTGCGGCCTAGGGCTAGCGCTAATCCTGCAACGGGATGCTCGGGTTGCTTTTTATCTTTCAAGACTCTGACGATCCTCCATGCTCTCGAAATACCCGATGGGGAACCAAACGACTCACACAGTTGGTTCCACTGTAGGCGTTGGAGGCGCTTAGTATATCGTCGAAATTTGGCATCGATCTTGCGATGTTCATTCCAATCATCCAGATCGTCTGTTTTTCGGGCTCGTCGCTGCGCGCGGCGTCGAGCAGCCCTTAGGTTTAGGTACATGAGGTCGGGAACAGGCCGGGTGTATGGTACTCTAATGGTCTTTGTTGACAGCTGGTAGGCTCGTGCAATCATGGCTGTTGTGTCTTCTGTCGTGCTGCCAGCTAGAGCAAAGTCCATGTGAGATCGGAATACATCCCAGTTGGTAACTCGAACCTCTCTGTAAGTTTTGTTTGTCTTTTTGGCAAACTTGCTGGTAATCATGATCGGTATATGATCACTGCCCCAGGAATCGGCTAGCACATTCCAATCTGCCAATATATCCGGGGACAGGAACGTCAGGTCTAATACACTGCGGCCAACTCCAGGTCTGATGAACGTTTCCGCACCGTCATTAAGGGCCTCTAAATGAAGTGAAGATGTCATACTATCAAGATCAAATCCTCTTCTTGTATTTTTGCGGTCACCCCATATCTTGTTGTGGGCGTTGAAATCTCCACAGAGTATAAGATGGCCTCTGCTTCTCTGCTTTACATCGGAAAGCTCTCCGACATCCCATTTGCAATTTGGAGGGACATACACTGAGACGACTGTGAAGTCCACGTTTTTGTATCTAACAGATACAGCAGCATATTCAGCACTACTCTTCGAAACTGAAGATAGGTCTACTGGCGATTGAGGAAGGCCGGCGCGAACAAAGACTACAGATCGTGGCTTGCAGTCCTTCCTTTTTGTAGAACTGTAATAGGCTACGTAGGGCGACAGGCGGCAGTTGGATGGATCGTTGTTAGGTTCCTGAATCGCCAGTATATCATTCCTAGTGGAGAGTAGATACCTCTGAAGATCTGGAAGGCGGGGATTTAGGCTGCAAGCGTTCCACTGTAGTATTCTTGGAATTTCGGGTTTATCGTTTGTACGTTTCTTGAAGTTGTGACTTTGAGCCGAGGCCATCCGCTCCTAGCGGTGGAAGGGTCCTGCTTTCAAAAAGGATTCCATTGCAAGCAGGGCTTGCACTTCTGGTAGGTTGTCTGAATCAGGGATCGCTTTGATGATGGCCCTTAACGCAGCAAAAAGCATTGGAATAAGGACGCTACCAAGGTCACCAGCCTGCTCTTGTCGTTTGCGCCTTGGAGCTGATGATACCGACATAGGTTGTCGGATGGTCGTCTGAGTGGTAGGGGCTGATTTCAGTAATTGCATAGTTGATGGAATTCCTCTGGCTGCTTCAGGTGCTTCTTCATGTGGCCGACGTTCTCTTTGTTTTTCTTTCACTCCATTCGTCGTCTTCTTCAATGCGTCACTGTAAGTTGGCTTTTGGGCTCGCTTATCCGTTGGAACTGGGACAGGCAAGGGGACGCGCACAACTTCAGGGTTTAAGGTGGCCGCGAACCCACGATTTTCCTTCCCATTTAAGACGTCCTGTCTTCGGATAACCGAGGCAGCCTTTCTGCGTTGACACCCAGAGAAGGTAGCGGCATGCTGGTTACCGCAGTTTGCGCACTTGGGTTCTTGCCGATTGGTGCAAGTCTTGTGGTGGTGCGGACCTGCGCACACTTTGCAGCGCCGTGGTCCACGGCAGTATTGCGCAATGTGTCCGTACCTTTGGCAATGATAGCACTGCACTGGAGGACCAAAATACTCGTCAACAGTGTGACTTGTGAAGCCTAAGAGAACGCGTGTAGGCATTGGTTGGTCTGGGCGAAAGTGGAGGAGCACGCTTTCTGTCTTGCGGTGTTCCACGTTGCCGTCCTCTTGTCTTCTATACGAAATTTGCCGTTGAACAGAAATAACTCCAAGATTTTTAAAATAGTCTAGTAGTTCTTCGTCGGTATACTCTATCGGTACTCCTTTGATTTTTCCCAAATTCCGTGAGTAGGAGTGGGGTACACTTGTCGCCACTTCAATAGAGCAAAGGGTCGATATGGCTAGTAATCTGTTGGCTGCTTGCAGAGATGCAACACTCACGAAAAGGCTTCCGTCTTTGTTCATCCTATGTGAGAGTAGCTTCTCCTGTGCAACATCAATGATCTCTTTGGCCACTTCGTTAGGATTCACCCTCCACAAGGATGCATTGGAACTGTTGGGTTTGAAAACCACTGGAATGCCCGCAGGGCGGTTTTTCTTGTAGTGGACTGGGGTAAAGGGCCGATTATCTTCATCGGCTTCCAGAACTTGCATGGGATCTTCTGGAGACTCGTCTTCATTGGAATGTAAAATAGCATCTTGAACGGAATAAGTAGAGGTCTTGTCATCATCATAGTCGTGATATGAGTCTGGGTCTGTACATCGTCTTTTAATAGGAGCTTTCTTGAGGTCACCGGGGATAAGGGTCGGCGGTGGTGGGGCGGTACATTGAGGTGGTGACTTGCCATGTGATGGTCCAGGATCCCCTCTTTCGGGTGTTTCAGCTGGTGGCGGTTGGTCCATTGCCCAGGTCGTCGGTCCGGTGTTTACAGGGAAAGGGCGAACATGCGCCGCGTCCGGGACCTCGACGTTTGACGTCAATAAGAAAATCTGACTGGATAATATCACGAAACTTTGAAAAATTCTATTTTTCCAAAAGAGCAAGAAGAATGGCGTTGATTGCCTGAAAACACGACTGTAGAGGCGTTCCGCGACAAGAGGCAAAATCAAGCGTCGCTGCAATTACCGCGTCGGCAAGTTGAGTGATCGGTTATTCTCTTTGATCATTAGTTCGCGCGATAGTCATGGCAATAGAGGTTCTTATTTTATTTGACCGAGCATTTGCACTTGTACAATCCGGGCTTCTCATAACCGTGAGAGGGCGGGAACGGCCTCCGGGGGTGGCCGCTGAAGCCGACTTCCCGCGTATGTCATGACCTACATTGACTTGATAAGGCCTACGGGGTAACCACGAGGGACCCTCCAGGCTTCTCGTAAGAGTGAGAGGGCCGCTGAAGCCGACCCATCGGGTATGCCATGACCGACAGTGACTTGATGAGGCCTACCGGGGGTAACCGCGAGGGACCCTCCGGGCTTTTTATAAACGTGAGGGGGCCGATGAAGCCGACCCCCCGGGTAGGTCATGACCGGCAGTGACTTGATGAGGCCTACCGGGGGTAACCGCGAGGGACCCTCCAAGCTTTTTATAAACGTGAGAGGGCCGATGAAACCGACCCACCGGGTAGGTCATGACCGGCAGTGATTTGATGAGGCCTACCGGGGGTAACCGCGAGGAACCCTCCGGGCTTTTCATAACCGTGAGAGGGCCGATGAAGCCGACCCACCGGGTAGGTCATGACCGGCAGTGACTTGATGAGGCCTACCGGGGGTTACCGCGAGGGACCCTCCGGGCTTTTCATAACCGTGAGAGGGCCGATGAAGCCGACCCACCGGGTATGTCATGACCGGCAGTGACTTGATGAGGCCTACCGGGGGTAACCGCGAGGGACCCTACAGGCTTCTCGTGATTGTGAGAGGGCCGATGAAGCCGACCCACCAGGTATGTCATGACCGACAGTGACTTGATAAGGCCTACCGAGGGTAACCGCGAGGGACCCTCCGGGCTTTTTATAAACGTGAGAGGGCCGATGAAGCCGACCCACCGGGTAGGTCATGACCGGCAGTGCCTTGATGAGGCCTACCGGGGGTAACCGCGAGGGACCCTCCGGGCTTTTCATAACCGTGAGGGGGCCGATCAAGCCGACCCACAGGGTATGTCATGACCGACAGTGACTTGATAAGGCCTACGGGGGTAACCGTGAGGGACCCTACAGGCTTCTCGTGATTGTGAGAGGGCCGATGAAGCCGACCCGCCAGGTATGTCATGACCGACAGTGACTTGATAAGGCCTACCGAGGGTAACCACGAGGGGCCCTCCGGGCTTTTTATAAACGTGAGAGGGCCGATGAAGCCGACCCACCGGGTAGGTCATGACCGGCAGTGACTTGATGAGGCCTACCGGGGGTAACCGCAAGGGACCCTCCGGGCTTTTCATAACCGTGAGAGGGCCAATGAAGCCGACTCACCGGGTATATCATGACCGACAGTGACTTGATAAGGCCTACGGGGGTAACCGTGAGGGACCCTACAGGCTTTTCGTGATTGTGAGAGGGCCGATGAAGCCGACCCACCAGGTATGTCATGACCGACAGTGACTTGGTAAGGCCTACCGAGGGTAACCGCGAGGGACCGTTCGGGCTTTTCATAACCATGAGGGGGCGGGGAACGGCCTCTGGGGGTGGCCGTTGAAGCCGAATTTTCCCGGGCATGTTATGACCTACAGTGGCTTGATAAGGCCTACGGGGGGTAACCACGAGGGACCCTTCAGGCTTCTCTTTACCGTGAGAGGGCCACTGAAGCCGACCTAACGAATAAGTCATGACTGTCAGGGACTTTATAAGGCCTACCGGGGGTAACCACAAGGTACCCTCCGGGCTTCTCATAACTGTGAGAGGGCGGGACACGGCCTCCGGGGCTGACCGCTGAAGCCGACTTCCCGGGCATGTCATGACCGATAGTGACTTGGTAAGGCCTACCGGGGGTAACCACTAGAGACCCTCCAGGCTTCTCATAGCCGTGAGAGGGCGGGGAACGTCCTCCGCGGGTGGCAGCTGAAGCCGACTTCCCGGGTATGTCATGACCTGTGACTGATAAGGCCTACAGGGGGTGACCTCGAGGGACCCTCCAGGCTACTCATAACCGTGAGAGGGCCGCTGAAGCCGTCCCACCAGGTATGCCATGACTAACAGCGACTTCATAAGGCCTACCGGGGGTAACCACGACGGACCCTCCAGGCTTCTCATAACCGTGAGGGGCCGCTGAAGACGACGTACCGCGTATGTCATTACAGACAGTGACTTGATAAGGCTTCCCGGGGTAACCACTAGGTACCCTCCGGGCTTTTCATAACCGTGAGAGAGCGGGGCACGGCCTCCGAGGGTAACCGCTAAAGCCGACTTCCCGGGTATGTCATGACCTACAGTGACTTGATAAGGCCTACCGGGGGTAACCGCGAGGGGCCCTCCAGGCTTCTCATAACCATGAGAGGGTCGCTGAAGCCGACCTACCGGGTTTGTCATGACCGACAATAACTTGATAAGGCCTACGGGGGGTAACCACCAGGGAACAGCTGGGCTTCTGATAACCGTGGGAGGGCGGGGCACGGCCTCCGGGGGTGACCGCTGGAACCGACTTTCCGGGTAGGTCATGACCTACAGTGACTTGATAAGGCCTACCGGGGGTAACCACCAGAGACCCTCCGTGCTTTTAATAACCACGAGATGCGGGGCACGGCCTCCGGGGGTGGCCACTAAATTTGACTACCCGGGTATGTCATTAGTTCGTGACCTAGAGTGACTTGATAAGGCCTACCGGAGGTAACCACGAAGGACCCTCCTGGCTGCTAATAACCGTGAGAGGGCCGCTGAAGCCGATTCACCGGGTATGTCATGATTGACAGCGACTTGATAAGGGATACCGAGGGTGCGCCCTGCGACACACACGCCATGTGTGTGTCGCAAAGCGCAACACACACATGGCGTGTGTTGCGCCCTGCGAGGAAAGCCACGCAGTGCGCAACACACGCCCAACTAGGCCCGGCAGAACACATTCCGAGGTTGCCAACGGCTAAGGCTTCATCTGTCACAGCACGCGACCATGCTTCTGACATTTCCCGCGCACAGAAAGCGGAGTCAAGCGATAAAAAGTCTACGGCTCCCCTACAAAAATATGTATGGACGTCCTATGTCCATACTTTTGCCGATTTATTACCTCTTTGTCCATCCTATGGATTCCTGTAGACAGTTCTTAGACCGTCTATGTACCACTGCTTTGCCACAGAATGGACACAACAACGCTATAGAGATCTTCGCGAAAGAAAAAGTTTTTCATTTCTTCCTATTTCCGTTCTATGGCCCCGGTGAGTCTATGGTCATCCTATTGCCTCTCTGTGGTGTGAGCTACATATTGGTGCATTTATAAAGTGATGCCGGGTATACGTTTTCTTTAGGTGTAGCGAGGTGTCCGAGTTAAAGAGTTGTTAATTAAGTTCGAGGTATCAATATGTTACATTGGTATCTGGAGGCGTATCCAACCTCAGGGTATTCTCATTGCGGAGATGAAAGTGTTTAGTATGTGCCGGAATAATGTTTTTACTTTCTAAGTGGGGGATAGGTATATGTGGGTCGCTGCGGCCCCCGTAGATATTCGCAACTTTCACAACCCATAGGGGGCGCACTGGTGCCTATCAAAATTGCGGTCATCTGGATGACGTTAAAAAGCGGTATACTAGTGTGGGTCTGCGCGCGACGCGTAAGTAATTGTAGTTTTGCTATATACGCGCACTATCAGAGACTTACTTTATGTTTTTTTTTTTCTTTTTCGTGTCAGGAAAGTGTAGGCAAGCCATTTTATTATGAGGCCAATCATCCAGGAGCTAGGGAGTGCGATTCTCACACCGCGTTACCACCATCGCTTAAAGTGGCTTCTCTATGGACCCCGTAGGGACTCCGTGCAGACCCTGTATGGCTTCTCTGCAGACTCCATAAGGAGCCCGTGTAGACCCTGTATGGCTTCCCTGTGGACCCTGTATGGCTTCCCTGTGAACCCCTTACGTACTTCCTATAGACCTTGTATGGCTTCTTTGCAGACCCCTAAGGACCCTACACTCTTTAAAAGGACTTTTACAGAGCACGTTTTTGCGTAGAAACAAATGGGGAAAAGCTCTGTTTGTAGAATCCTTTATTGGATATCAGTACAAAATGACAAGAGCGTGATGTTTTTATACACTTTTAGCTTACAGGGTTTTGCGGCACAATTAATATTTTTTTTCTTTTACAGAAATGCCTCACCGGCGACTTCAGGTTGCGCGTCCCGACTTCGGTGGCAATTCGCGGCGCGTCCACCTGGGAGACGGGAGTTGGCATCCCTGAAACCCCTCTTCTACCGTATGTGTTTCGGCGCCAAAGTGGCCGATTAAAGCCAAAGAAGAAAAGTCACATGCTGTCGAATATCGATAGTCCTAAACCAGCACACTCAGTCGTGCAGTTATCCGAGTGGCTGCTGCGGGTGGAATGGTGGCGTTGCGATCGCAATTAGTTTGGTTTTCGAGTACAGATCGGTGCCGCTTTTTCAAAGCAAGCTCTTTAGCAGTTTCCCAACTGCCTTGCTCTAGAAACGTTGGTCGGTGCGGACCCCGTAGCAGACCCCCTGCAGACTGAGTGGCTTCTCTGCGGACCCTGTAGGGACTCCCTGTAGACCTTGTATGGCTTTTCTGCAGACCCCATGAGGACCCTGTGTAGACCTTGTATGGCTTCCCTGTGGACTCTCTAGGGTCTCCTTGTAGACTTCGTATGGGTTTTCTGCAGGTACCCTGTAGACAGCGCAAAGACCCTGTGTAGACACCCTATAGAGACCCTATGGACTCTATATGGCGTCTTGCCATAGAGGGGGTATAGGATGACCAC